GAGAGAGAGATCAATGGACCGGACCTGTCGCACCACCCGGTCCAGCCGGAAAGGCAGCAAAATGTTGAAACGGAAGCTGTACATGAACCACCGTGAGCAAGCCACCTTCTGCCTTAGCCGCCTCAGTGGTCATGAGGAGGTTAGAGAAATGGTCAATGACCCATTGGAGAGCATAGAAACTCGAATCGCTCTCGTCGATCGCAACCATCATTCTCTTCGTCGTCACTTCTTCGGCCTTCTGTGGCTGCTTCTCCACCGTCGTTGCTTCCATCGCCGCCGTTGCTTGATCGTCCGTCATTTGATCTTAGTTTGATATTTTTTTATTTACTTAAAATGATGTGATCAAACTGTTTCATTTGCAGTGCTTTATATATTGCATGTAAAGGATGATATGTCTCGAAATAAACCGGACACGTGGCACGCATCGTTTAGATTGTAACGTGCAACAAGATATTTTTTTTTCTTTTTTTGTCGTCGTGCAACAAGATATACATACCTTTACTTTATTATTTTTAATTTGGTGGATATTATTTTTCGTTGTTAAAGGATGTGCATGTTGATATAAAAGTTGTGTGCGTTATGTTTTAGCGGTTTTTTATTTGTTTGCTTATGGTTTTGCTTTGATCGTGGCTATCTCTATCTTGATCCTTTTTACTTTTAAATGAAACGCCACTGAACATCAAGAAAAAAGGGGAAAAAGAAGCAGAAATACAATTTTGGTTGAATTTGAAGTGATCGAAAAGAAATGTTATCGCTAGCTTTTAGTATGAAAGAGTTAAGCTGATTTATTGTTTGATCAAAGTAGATTCTAAATTCAAGAAGAACTCTCTCATTACAAGAAAACATATCAATTTTTGACTAATTTTTTTTTACTATTTTCGACCAATTTTAGACGAATATTTATTTTCGTTATAAATTAGTCAAGAAAATATGATGAAATATAAGAGTTCAAAACTTGTCGAAAAATTTGTAAATTTGTAAATTTATAAAAAAATGTCGAAAACTTGCGACAAAGAAGATTGGTTGAAAATTGTTCAGAAAAACATGTTAATTTTTTACCAATAAATTGGTCAAAATGTTTGTTGACAAATTTTCGACCAAAAAATTATGAAAATTTAAACTCGTCAACATATGATCAAACTTTTTTTGACTAATACAAGTGGTCAGTAAATAGTCAAAATATTCTTATATTTATCAACTAAAACAAAATTTGGTCAAAATTTCGTGAGTAATTTTTTACGAATAAATACTTGACAGAAATTGGTCACAACATTATCGACCAAATATTGAGGAGACACTTCTATTGTATTTGTCCCACATCGCCAATATGGAANGNATGAAACTTTGANTTTCNNTATAAAATAACACTTACTCCATTGTNAAAAACGTAAATGGGNTTCNTGGCNNAAATAGTTNAATTTTNAAATATTTTAATCGCTGATTGAGTGAATATTTTGAAATTATTATGAATCAAATACTTTAAATTTGAATTTTTATATTTTCGAATATATTTTTTTGAAATATTTTATATTTTAATTTTTTAAAAATATTTAATTTNATTTTAATTATTATGAATCAAATATTTTAAATTTCAATTTCAATTTTTTCGAATTGATCAAAATATAGTTCTAAAAATTAAATATCTAAGTTGGTCAAAAATTGGGTAGAATATATGGTTTAAAGCTGGTCAAAATATATAGTTCCGACTATTTTGATTGATCAAAAAATTTTGACGATTGTATTGGTCAGAATCAAAATTTTGATCACTTTGTTGGTCAAAACCAAAATTTTGACCATTTTTATTGGTCAAAACGTTTTGACTATTTTGTGACCAAATTACATTTGCGACCATCAATTTTTGACGAATCGATTTTGGTCAAGTATTAGTCAGAAATAGCTGTTTTTGACCAATTTTAAACTAAATTGATAGTCAAAATTGGAATATTTTCTTGTAGTGTCTCTGAATACATGAAAGATGTTCATTAGAACTGATATTTTAAATTTTGTATAGAAGCCTAGCGATTTTGTTAAGAAAGTTCAAAGTTTGAAATATATAATTGGGAGTTTTAAAATGGATCTTGTTAATTAAACAGTTTATATCGATTTTTCTTTAAAAAATTTGACTCTTGAATTATTATAGACGTCTTATAGTGTAAATTTCTATTTCTTGAATTAGCTTAAAATGAAGGCTTTAAAATGAAGGTTTGGATACCGAATAAAAGAAGGTAAAAAGGGAAGAAAAGGAGAAAAGCAAAAGTATGTTGATATGATAGCATTAATAAAGCTTCTACTCATTATCCAAAAAAAATAAGGCTTCTATTCCAACCACTAAAATTAATAGAAGCCCATAGATCATGATAATTCATAAGACATTATCCCAATATCGGAATATGTACATATCTTTTTGCTCGTCTTTATTAGTTTTCCATTTGAATGGATATAGGAAGAGACTTGATTGATATATCGGCTGATCCGAATTGGCATACCACTTTACATCGGCTTATTTCGCAGTCCTGTGTCTCTTTAGTTTGGTTCAGTGTGATCAACCAAACTTGTCAATACCAATAGTAAGAGATTTGATCGGTATCTCTTACTTAGATTCTGTTAAACGCTCCAAAATGGTCATAACATAGTTGCAGTTTGAACCTTTTAGAAAGAACAAAAATACTTTAATTTTTTTCATTAATAAGAGAGTTTCGAATGATCCAAATACCTTAAAAGTTTTTCACAAATGATAAAAGGTTGTAGATGGAGCACACCAAAGGTAAAATGCTACCGTTTAAAAGTTGCAATTTTTTTTGTTTTTCTTGCAAATCATATTCATAAATTATTTAATTGGTAACCCGAGTGTAACATGTAATACCATATAATCATCAATCGTCTTTTGATTGATAAAGACAAAATAGCAAAAATAGTGTTGGGCCTGAATCTGCGGTCCAAATGGTTTACGACCCGGTGGTCAGCGATCCGAGAACAATGGAAGCCCAACTCAAACAATAACCGCGGTCTGGTTAAGCCTGAGTCAGATTCGGTAACATAGTATGTACCCTCAAAATCTTGTACTATAAATAGGGGAATAAGCTGATGTGAGGAAGGATCTTCCATTCTCTGAGGGAAAGTACAAGGGACCCAGAGCATAACCGTTCAGGTCTCTAACTCCGACATAGAACTCACCGGAAGGCCACCGCCGACCGGAAAACACCGCAAACACTCACATTACATACTAACTCGCAGCGAACAAGTAGCTCGAGATCTGTCCGGTCTACTACTCTCTTTCTAGTCTATAGTAATCAGGTAGACCGGGATCTGTCCGGACTATCTATAGCGGTCTTCTTTGTAACACTCATTTCGGG